ATACGCGAAACGTGAATAATTGCGAACAATTCTCAAGCGAAACGGCCGTTCCGCGAGTAGCAGCAAGAATGCTCTGAAGGACCCCCCTGTAGTGCTGAATCGCGAAAAAGTCTTAAGCGATAAGGCGGTTCCACCATCCGCGAGTAACAACAACCTGGTTCTGAAGGACCCCTCTGTGGTGCTAAAATGCAAAGAGGGCTCAAGCAAAACAGCCGTTCCGGCATCCGCAACTAGCGGCAAGACTGATCTGAAGGACCTGTGGTACTAAATGGCGAGGAAGTCTCAGGCGACAGCGCTCTTCTTGAGGTTCGGGCCCTCTCTTGCCAGGGCCTCTCGTAATGAATTTCGAAGACGTATCGCACGGGAGCGTTGTCATTGTTGGGGGGTCTCTGTCGGTGTAGCCCCGAAAAAACACTTGAGCGTGAGCCTCAATTTCAATGGAAATGCAGCCGGCGCTGAGGCGAGAGGGCCAAAAACGGATGTAGGGAGTCCAACAATAATAATTCGCCGGTAAGATCTCCGGTAACAAAGAAACAATATAACGAATTTGCCCGCGCGAGGCGGCCCCTGGGGGCCCCGACGCGACACGTACCCCGCCAAAGTCCTGGCAAGTGCCTGCCAGAGATGCCGGAGGCCCCCCAGACGGCCACTCCAGGACGCCCACCATGGCCTCCGGACGCCCCCAAAGGCGTGCAAAAGCACTCCCGAGAGGGCCCCACGAGGCAAAATGCATTGATTTCCCTCGGGTCTTGGACACATTTTCGGGTTTCTCCTTTTTCGGCTTCCCGACGCTCCAAGATGGCCTAAGAGGCTCCCAAAATCGCCCCAAAAGGGTCAACGAGGGCCCCAAGACAGCCCCAAAACGGCCCAAGATAGCCCCAAGACAGCCCAAGAGGCGCCCAAGACGGCCCAAGAGAGCCCCAAAATGGCTCCAAGATGGGCCCAAAAAGATAGTCCCAAGAGGCCCCCAGGAGGCTCCAAGAGACCCCTCAGTGGCCCCAAGGGGCCCCCAAGAGGCACCCCAAGAAGCCCCAAGAGGCATCCAAGAGGCCCCCAAGAGGCCCCCAAGAGGCTCCAAGAGGCCCAACACGGCCCCCGCGAGGCCTCAAAACTGCTTCCCAAAAGGCCCCTGAGAGGCCAACCATGAGAGCCCAACCAACATCGGCGAGGCCTCTGACCCGCAACCCACCGCCTCCGAAAAGTGGCAGCCGCCCAACCGCACCGCATTGACAACAACACCCCGACAAACGACAGCGCGAGGCAAGATGGGCCGGCGGAATGAGCGAAGCGATTAATTGTCTGGAAATTCAAATTCAACCAAAAATACGTCGGGTGAGTTCGGCTAACAACGCGCTATCCTTGGGCTTGGCGGGCCCGTTTGTAATGCCCACGACACGTCGGCTGTCGGACCGCGCGGCATAGAGATCACCAATAATATCAACACTCCGCTTTCGCTGGGGTGAGACACCAAGCCGTATCTCACATGGGGGCGTCCTACAGCGCACGCGATGTCCAAGTGCGTGTTGGTAGTTGTCCTGGGTCCCGAATGCATCTCCACGTGGAACGATCGCCATGGCAAACGACAGCGCAAGGTGCCGCCACCCCAGTCGGGCACCCATACCTTCTTGATCTCTTCTGGTGCTATCTCTGCACGAGATCCTTTCTGTTGTCGGTCAGGATGGTCCGTGCTGACCTGTCACGCTCGAGCGCAGGCTTGCTACCGTCACCACTCTTGTAAGTAACAGCTCGCCGAAACCCACCCACTGGATCCTCTGCCCTCAAGCACGCCGCGACGAACCACGTGTCTCACCCGTTCTCAGAGAGGCTCAAGCCCGAACCGTGGAAAACTCGATCCCCCGGTCTGTCTCGAACAGCACCCCTAGCGTCGAGCTCGTCACCGGGGCCATGGTGCTGTACCCGGCGCTGTCGGCCAGGTGGACGAGCCTGTCGCCGTACCTGTGCACAAAACGCTGCGTGAGCACAAACTTCCGGAAGCCCGGGCGGGTTCCTTGGAGCGGCGCTGGAGCCCCTGGCCGGTGCCTCTGGATCGCTCCGCGCGACGGGGAGGAGGGGGTCCAACGCCGACCCGAAAAATATGCGCGGCCCTCCGGAAGTTCACGCCGACGCAGTTTCGGGAGGAAGCGGAAAGGGAGGGGCTGGCTCGGGGGGAAAGACACAAAAGACATGTTACGCCCAGGCCCCCAGTGAGAGGGGCCAGACTTGATCTACTGAGAGGGGGGGCTCCCCGGGGGCAGGGGGAGCTGGCGCGACAGCCCTGAACGAGAAAGGCATACCCGACGCAGCAGCGGGGCGCGCACCACGCCGCGAGCCAACCCAGGAGAGGGACGTCCTCCCACGAGTGCTCACGAGGCGCGACCGCCCCCGGAACAAATTCGAGGCCCGATCCAGGCCTTCACAAAACGGGCAGGACGCCGCAATTCCCAAGGTTTTTGCCCCAGGGCGGGTGTGGTGAGAGAAGAAACTGCAGCCGTAGAGCGACATGCAAAGGAGAGGGAGCAACAACCTCGTATTTCGGGCAGTTGCAGAACTGTGTTCGAAAAGCGCGCACTTGCACCCAGGCCCCCAGTAAGAGAGGCCCGACTTGATGCACTAAGAGGGGGAGCTCCCTGAGGGCAGGGGGAGCTGGCGCGACAACCCCAAAGGAGCACCCGGCGCAGCAGCGGGACGCGCACCGTGCCGCGATCCAGCCTAGGAGGGGGGCGTCCTCCCACGAGCGCTCATGAGGCGCGACCGCCTTGCGAAAAATGCCCCTTACCCAGAGAGGTGCCCGACCTCGCCTCGAGGCCCCATCCAGGCCTTCAGAAGAGGGCGGGGCGCCGACATTACCCTCCCCAGCCAAAACAGACTGGCACTCCCACTCCGTGCCCATGCCACCCAGCCAAAGCAGTTAGGAACCGGGGAGGGAAGAGGGTCAGATTCCCAGTTGTGATCCAGCCCCCCTTTCATATAGCACCCCAGGAGCCCTAGAGTGTTTTGAATTACTGCCAAATCATACAATCAGGTACTAAATGTATATGAAAGAGGGCCTGCAACCAGTCCAGGGCTACTCAGGTCGTTGTACCAAAAAGATGCAGCGTGCCATGCTCGGCACTGGGTACGAGGGGTGGCTCTTCAAATTTGTTTCGCTATGAAACAACACTTCTGCCACCCTCACCCAAAAAATGATAGTACCAAAACCTGCGCAACCGAGTCTGAGTTGCGTCGGTACCTCACTCGTCCTGCCGTGCTGGCGCGCCCTGTCGTCAGTACTCTCGTGCCGTCAAAATCTGGCCTCCCCCCTGCCGTGTCCAGCATTCGCTTCACTTGATGCACGAGGGAGGCCGCCAGCTCGGTGTTCTTCTTCGGCGACGCGCGGACGCTAGCCACCAGGCGCGCCGCCGGCGCCTCCCAGAAGCTGGCCCCCTTCCTGATATGCTCCGCCGTCGTGCGATGCAAAGCGTTCGCCAGGGCGCGCATCTTGGCTGGCGCATCTCCGCAGGGCCGCCGCAGTCCGCCACCTTCCTTTGCGCCGAGCCGCCTCCAGGCAGCCTTCCCCGGCCACGAGGGTGGCCGCCCTCGCGTGACTGATGGCGCGCGGCGGGCCCACCTTCTGGTCGGGGGCGAGCGCGGCGTCGCGCCACTCCTTGCGGCGCTTGTCCTGCGCGATCGGGGGCGCAAAGGTCGCGTGGCGCGCGCGCTCTCGTCATCGCTCTCATCGCGGCCGCCGTTGCCAGCCGCGACGGCGCGACTCCCTGGCCGGCTCCCGCCTTGACCTTCGCGCCTGTCTCGACGGCCAGGGCGCGCGCCCTCGCGCCTGAGCTGGCCCCGTCGCCCGTCCAACTGGGCCAGCGCGGCCCGCCCCATCGAAGACAAGACCTTCGCGAAAGAGGTAGAACAGGCTCGCCCTCGCCCTCCCGCCCAAGGCGCAGCCGCGACTTGCGGGCTCGAGCAGCGGTGGGAAGTCGGTCACAATGGCCCTCGAATATGCGCGCACAACCGTTGAAAAGCGCGGTGGGTCGCCCGAAGCCCCCCCCCCCCCGCGCGCGGCAGAGGTCCGCGACGTAGCCCGCCAGCTGCCAGCGCCTGGCCCCGAGCGACGCGACTGTCAGAAGCAAGGTCATCGCGTTTCGCGCACACCAGGAACTCCGCAACAGCCTTCTGGCACATCCGATTTTCGTCGTCCTCCGCCGCGCGAATCGCTGAACGGCTGTTGCGCCGCAGCCCGCGGCCAGTTGCCCGCGGCCACGCCGGGGCCCGCCGCGGGCGGCGGGGTCGGCTTCTGAGGCGACGCTCGCGCGGCGCCTCCAGCCGCGCATATGCCCGCGAATGTCGCAACTGCGAGACTCCAGGGGCGCGACCTCCAAGCCGCCCCCGGGATAACTGCTCCAGACGCCGCGGCGCACCCCGAGCCGCGCGTTGACGGGCTGTCTCTTCGGCCGCGCCGATAGGCGGGCCTCTCGACGGCCCGCCCGCCGGGCTCAACTCCGATGGCGCCCATCTGAAATGTCCACGCACGCGGCGCGCCATCTGAATGGCCGCGCCCGCCCAGCACAGGTGCGGCATGTCTTTTGCCGATGGCCTGCCTTTCTGCGGCACCCCCGAGGGCGCGAGAGGGTCGGTGAACATCGGCGCCCTGTTACCAAAGGCCTGCGAGACACGGTTCAAGCGACGAGGCACGGTCACCGCCGCAGGCAGCTCGAGGTCGCTATCGCGCTCTACCTGCGCCCGCCGACCAGCGAAGAGCACGTGCCACTCCTTTTTCAGCCAGACGTTGCCCATGGGCATGGCGGCTCCCGCGCCCCTCGCCACTCGTCGTCGCCCCCCCTGTTGCCGCGCTCGCGATCCTGCCGGCGCCGAGGCCCAGTCTTGCTCCAACCGACGCATAATCTCGGCATGTGCTTGACGCGCCCCGACGGGATGCGAACAGGCCAATTGGGTCCATCGCATGCTACGCGGTGCCCTTCCTCGCAATTCCTGATGAGGCTGGATCGTGCGAGAACTTTCCAGAACGACCCCGTGCATCTTCTCGACGGCCCAACCATGTCTCGCACGTGCGAAAGGAAAACAGTCGGCTTCTTCGGGCTCTCGCCGTGCGCGCACCCAATTCCACTCTCCATTTGTCCGCGTCTTTTACAAGCTCTGGCAAAGAAGGGAACTCCCACACCAAGCTCCCAGCTGCATCGTCCACCGTGAAATCTAGCCCCAGACGAAGGCGCTGCTCGATCACCTCGACGGCCGCCAAACACAGCAGGTTCCCCTCGGAACGTTGGCCTCGTCCTTCTCGCCCACCCCGCAGAGGTTCCAGACGTGGTCGCGGCGCTTCAGTGGCGGAAGCCATCCCTCACGAAAAAATCGACCAGGGCGGTGCCAAATGCACCCATAAGAAACAGCCCTGCTTGAGTCGTCTCGGCAGCAGCTCCAGGCTCCCGCTCGTCAGCACGTCGCGCTGGGGCCCAAAGGTCACGTCCCGCGCCCACCCCCCGAGCCGGTCAGCTCCGTGACGACGCCCGGTAGCCTCGAGCTTCCCGCGGGCAACTCCCGCGCGCCCGGCCTGCCCGTCTCGGGCTCCGCGGGAATGTCCTCCTCCGCTCGCGGGCCCCAGCGGCCACCCGACCCTCGCGCCGCCTCCGTGCGGACCTCCTCCGATGAGCAATCGCACGCCAATGCTCCGTGCCCCTGGCGTGAAGCGCTCGCCATGTATGCCCGTGGCAACCACGGGGCCTCCAAGTCCGACTCCATGTAGATAGACAGCGACGCCACCGCCGACAGCTTCACGCGCACCAGTTGAGGTATCCGGTGAGGTGCGATCGCTTCCACCTCCATGAACTCCTCAATCCGCATGTGGGTATCGTCGAACACTGCAAAAGTTTTGCGAAACGCCATCATCGTCCACGCCCAGTGCCCCACCAGGCTCGCAAGCACTGCGGGACGAATGAACTCCTCCAACACCACCGCCTCCGTGGCCAGAGCTAACTCCGAGAACTTCCGCGTCCTCTTCGTGAGCCGCCAGCCCTCTCTCATTCAGCAAGTTCCTGATCTGGTTTTGTCCTTCAGAACCTCCTCCTCCCCCTCGGGGTTCGCCAACGCGAGGCCGATGTAGTCGCCGATGCGCAGTAGGAGGATCGGCTTCTCGGCCGCCGATCCTGTCATTCCAAAGCTGGGCGTCGGCTTCAAATTGGTGACATCGGGGGACTTCGAGGTCTCGAAGCTCGCCTCCAGACTGGCATGGGCCAGGTTGACTGCCGGCGCCGAACCCATCGCCGAGCGGACTCCGGCGCCCTCCTCCATCGGCTCCTTCAGCACGACCCTGATGCCCTTCGCGCACTTGCGCAACTCCTGCGGCGAAACATTCTCGACCACAAAGTATCCCCCTAGTTCAGACCCCAGCGCAGCCGATAGAACCAGCCAGGAATGTCGCCTTGGAGCGGGAAGAACCACCGCCCACGTAGTATGGCTTCGTCCAGCTCCGGCTCCAGCCAAAGCCGCTGGGCCCCCCAGCGGGGCCCAAGGCGGATCCTGAAAGACAAGATTCACTCGCCGATACGCCCAGATGGGCCTGCTGTTGACCGCCTCCCCTAAGACTGGGTCGGCATCCTTCGCCGACGTGAACAGCCCCGCGTGCTCCCTCCCTTCTCGAACGTGCTCCACCATGCCCGCCTCCAACATCCTGACGACCAATCTCATCCTCTCCGTCTTGCTCCGCCGGGCCAGGTCGTCACGGCTCTTCGTCGCCGCGCAGTGATCACAGTCCGCCTCGCCCGCCCCCCTGATCATCATCGTCTCGGCGCGCCCGATGTATTTGCCTGCGCGCCGAGAGGCCCCGCGCACTGAGCTGCTTGGTGCCAGGGTTCGGGAAGGGCACCTTCTTCGCCGCCAGCGGGCAGATGCCCCTCCCCCTTTCTTGAAGTAAGATGCGCCCGAAGTCGCCCCCCCGTCGTAGCAGTTGAGAGAAATAGCCGCATCCCATCGGCAGGGCGGGCAGCCATGAGGCAACAGGCAGAGGAGAGTCGGCCCAAACCTCATATTTCGGGCAGCTGGAGCAGGGTGCTTGAAAAACGCCTAGGGCTGGGGATCGGCGATACATCGCCGACAGATTGGCGATGGGCCCCCCGGTGTGGAAACCGCAAGCTTCTGGGCGGAGCGGGATGTCAGGCCCACGTCGGCGACGAATGGGCAACTGGGGGATGGTGCGTTCCCCATGCGAGCCTGTGCCCCCGCAGCGCTCACCCTCGGTTGTGATCCGGGCACCCTCGGAACGCTCTCGGCGAGGCGCGGCTGCTGGAAAGCAGCCCGAGGCTGGAAGACCGCCGAGCACCGACGAGGACACCCCTGAGCCCATCCGCCCCTGACGTTGCCCTTGGCGCTTCTTCGTCCTTTCCTTTCCCGGGAGGAGGATCGAGACGAGAAGACGGATGAGTGGGGAGGAATAGGAGGAGCATGCTATGAGACCAGCTCCGGCCGCCGTCGTCGCTCCTGCGCACGACGAGGAACCTGCGGCGCCAGAACATGCCGGGCTTGCTGGCCAGGGGCCCTGAGAAGTACAGCGCGCCGTCGTGGTGCAGCAGCTGCCCCTGGCAGATGGCGCTCGGCAGCTCGCGGTTGTACTCGATCGGGCTCCACGTGACTCCGAGGTCGGAGGACCTCTGAGGGCCCGAGGCTTCCTCAGCTTTTTCGCCCAAAAGCAAAAACACTCTGGCAAACTGAACTGCCCGTCGCCACGGCTAGGCCCGCCTCGGAAGTCTGGCCGCAATGCGCGCCAGGACAAATCCAGGGATCGACCTTACCCCCGGGGCCCAAGCCCAGCCCCCCCCACCGTCGGCGAAAGGTCACAACTGGCAGGTGTTCACAGAAAGGAGCGCGCCATAAGAGAGAGGGGGGGAACGACGGGGGAGGCGGACGGCTGAGCGGCCAAGGCTAAGGGGGGGAGGGCCCAACGACTTGGAACCGCTGCTGCATCGTCAGCGACGGCGATGAGGCATCCAGGCTCCAATCCGACCCGCGAGGAGTGGGCGACTGGGGGTCGGTGTCTCCCCCTGAGGCCAGTCCCGCCCTTGACGCTGCCCCGAGGACCGCGACGCAGCGCGGCCCTCGGTGCCCATCTCCTCGTGCCGCATGGCCAGGAGGAGCTCCCCGCCACCCAGGCTGGCGATCGTGCTCTCGTCCATGGCGGGGAAGCTCGTGTTGAGTGTCCTCCAGGTGAGGCCCTCGTCGTCGCTGACCGTGACGCTCACGTACCTGTACGCTCCCCGGTGCGAGACTACGAACAGCCGCTCCCCGCCGCCCGGCATGCTCACGGTGATGCCCGTGCCCGGGCCAGGGTTCGAGAGGCTCGCAGAGCCGAACTGATCACTGACGTCCGCTTCCGCGCTCCAGGTCTCGCCGTCGGTGACGCTGTGGACCATGCCGATGCGATGCTGTCCAGCTGCCGTTGCAGCTCCGTACAATAGTACTATCTTTCCGCTGTGGAGCGCGATGGAATACGGGTTGAACCTTCGCGCGTACTTCCCTTCTGTCGCGAAGCTCGCGCTCGACCAAGTCTTGCCAGAGTCGTCGCTGTGGGACACTGCGATCTTCCAGCCAGAGTCGTCCAAGCAGGTGCGCCGGCGGGCTTCTGCGAACGCGACCAGCCTGCCGGTTCGCGTCCTCACGACGGCCGGTATCCGGTAACAGCCTACCCGTGGCAATCTGCTCAGAAACACGGGCACCGCATGTCTGGAAGCTGGAGGCGGCCGGGGGCTCTGAGCTCGACGGGCCCGAGGCACAATCGGAGGAGGAGGGGCCCAGACCTCCGACGGCGCGAATTTTCACAACTCCGAGACCTCGACAGGCCCAAGGCACCATCGGATGAGGAGGGGCCCAGACCTCCGACGGCGCGAATTGTCACAACGTCGACCCCCCAAAGGTGCGGACCCCTTCCAGGGGGACCCGGTGTTTCACCCTGAGAGTCGTTTTGTTGACGGTCCCTGGAGGCCGGGCGAGGGCCCCTGCAAAGGCCGAGCATATACGGAAAACCCCCCCCCGTCGTGATTTTTTGTCCACAGTGCGAGGAGGTCTGGAGAAGCCCGGGGGAACAATCGGTCGAGAGGGGGGGGATGGGCGCAAGCATTCGCCCCAAAGCGGTCCCCAGACCCCAGACCCCTCCCAGGGGTCGGCAGTGACAAGCTCATCGAGTCGCGTCCAGGCGTGGAGACGAGGGGACCCCTTCCCCCCCTCCGCCTCCTCCTCCTCCTCCTCCTCCTCCTCCTCGTCCTCCTCCTCCTCCTCCTCCTCCTCCACCTCCTCCTCCTCCTCCCCTCCTCCTCCTCCTCCCCCTCCTCCTCCCCCTCCTCCTCCTCCTCCTCCTCCTCCCCCCTCCTCCTCCCCCTCCTCCTCCTCCTCCTCCTCCTCCTCCTCCTCCTCCTCCTCCTGCTGGCCAGAACCAGTGCTGGGCCACCTTGGCCGCCCAGCCGGCTCCAGTCTGGAGGCGGGCAGCGCACCGGGGTGCGTGCGGAGGTCCCAGCACGGGCTCTCCTTTACCAGCCCGAGGCAGGTCCCTATCCCTACAGGGCAGGTTTTAATACGGCAGGTTCGTGTCGTGCCGACCCCAGCGTTGGTTTTTGACACCGCAGGGATCGTTCAACCTTGAACGATTGGCCGCTGCCGCAACGTCCGATCGTTCAACGTCGATCGATTCTGGGTCGCCAGCGGCGTTCAACCTTGAACGCCCACGCTGGGGTCGCCGCTGGTCGACACGACGCAAACCTACCGTACATAGGATTTTAAGTATTCGGGAATGTTAATCCATGATTACTTTATGAATAAAGTAATGCCTAAACTCATCCTTGTATGCATTAAGCAGCCCTT